TGGCCACTGGTCCCTGGGCACCCACGCCTGCCACCAGAATAAGCTTTAAAACGCTCCTGACCCTTCAGGGGCTCCCCACCGCAGCCCACCGCACCGCAGGGCTCTGCCCCCTTGACTTGGAGCCTTCTCTCCTCCACCCCCCCACCCCCCCACCCCCGCCAAGTGGATGCGATCCCTGCTTTCAGAGCAGTCTAGTTTTGATCAGCTCACTACGGTCCTAGCGCTTTCTGCAGCTCCTGGACCACCCGTCTCCCCATCCCAGAGCACGCAGCTCAGCAGCTCAGGACGCAAGCAATCCCTACCCACATCGTAAAAAGGACTACTCACCTGCAAAGGTTTTCTGCTCTGCTTCTTGGAGGAAGGCAACTGAAAACCCACTAAATCCAAGGTCCCCCCTCCACTTCCTGTGGCTGAACAGACAGCACCACAAACCCCTATTTAATTCTGTGGATCCCACCAGGCAAGGTTCCTTATTGTGCACACTTTCTTTCCTCTTAAGAAACCGAGCCAGAAGAAGTGGACAGAGGCAGCGGCAAACTACAAACTCCAGGAGGGAGACGCTCCCCACGATCCCACCCTCTCTAACCACTTTCCTCCCCTCCGGATCCCTCAGGAGGGACAGGAGGGGGCAAAGATGACCGGTGCCCTCACAGCAGATTAGTGAGGGGGACAAACCGACTCTTCCACCCAGGGCTGAGGTGCAGCTGTGTGCAAACCGCCACGGGAGACCAAAGGGGCATTCTGGGGCCTGCAGAGAGCTGCAGGTGGGGCGGCTGTGGGCAAGGGACCCCAAGGGCGGTCTGCAGTGCTCAGGCCCACCTTCTACCCCAACAGGGCTCCCAGTCTGAAAGAGGGAGCGGGAAGGGTGGAGATGAACTTCAGGGCGGGCTCAGCACCCGCCTCGCGTGACTCTGGAAACAGGCAGGAACCCTGCAGCCTAACACGGTGAACGGTGTCACCAGAACACCTCGGGTGGGTCCCACGTGCACAACTAGCAAGTCAAATGAAAACTTCAGCCACGTGCGCACCTCATTTCCTAAGATAAAGTGATGGTTGTTACAAAAGAAGTGAGAAATTCTCACTTGAATTGCTTTGTACACATGCACTTCGGAGCCCAGAAACCAGTTCTTTGGGAGTTTAACGTATTTTTGCAAACCTCTGCCCTTCCCCAGATGTGCGGATAGCAGAGAAGCCACCGCATGCTGAAGTGGCCACAGGACCCCATCAAACTGCTCTGCAGACACTCTGCCCTTCCTGCATCTTACCAGTGCTCCATACTGATTTTGCTGAATTGGGACAGGTCACCAACAGGATGAACCATCCAAAGGAACCCACGCTCCACACCCAAATGCGCGAGCCAAACCGTCCTCGTTCTTACAGCCCGTGCTCGGACAGACTCTTCCGCGTCTGCATTAACTCAGCAAGGGCACAGGCTTCCAACGCAAGGCTTCCCTGTTACACATCAGATTTCAGACAACTGAGGGGAAAGTGTCCCCCACGTGCATAACCCGCATAGAAACGGACCCTCACAGGGAGGTAATGCATGCTAACGATTCAGTTATTTCCCAGGGAATACTAGAGATGATCCAGAAAATCCAGACAAAAAAAAAAACCAATATATTTTGCAGCAAATTTTTCTTTCAGTAAGACTTGTAAATTCTCTCCCACCCCATATTAAACAGGTTAAGTGAAGCAGCTTCCAAATTTAACGGTTACATTTCAGATTCTGAGTAGTCACGTCACGCTTGCATTCCACACAGGTCACAAACACATATGCCTTCTGTGAAGTATCTGAAAAAGCTTTCATCCCAGTTAGGGGAAGAATCTTTTCAAGTCCCAGACTTAATCTGGTTTTGAACCGAATATAGCATAGTGTATACAGCAATTCAAATCTGTAAGCAAATCTATAGATACATTTACTCAATATTGAAATTTACTCAATTCTATCCTTTGTATTTCATTTTTTCCACGTATTTAAGCAATCCCTACCTTTCAGGTAGGAAGTAATCATTTAAGGAGAAATGGACATCTGAAGAACTTTGGTAAACTCAACTACAGCAGTGCTCTTATGAGCAAAATCGTTTCAGACTCCTCCAACTGCTACAGTATGGCGTCGACGGGGCAAAATAGACCCAACGCATTTTTAAATGTGGGAATCATACAAAGACAAATGGTCTCATCCAATGAAACTTTTGCAATGTTTCACGTTTACTGAGGAGCCATTCTGAGGTCTACTTTTCTGTTTAGTATTTGTGTCCTTGAACTGGCCACAAAAATCCTTCAGAAAAAAGCATCAAAGCTGTGAGGTGTCCAACTTAAATCCTTCGTGTTTTAAAGCTTGGGAATACTTGAAAGCAGCGGGTAAACGTGGAACATCTTTCTAGAATACCAATTTTACATTAAACGTGTAACATTAAAACAAAAGGCAAATAAATGCATGACTTACACTCATTTTTAACAAGTATTTGAGACTTCTGTCAAAGTTCCTCTCACCATTTGTATGGTTCGACCGGGCTCTGAAAATCTCTACATCAGAGCACGGTTACTTCTGCCACGAAATTACAGCAGCTGTGATTCTTAAAATGCCTATCTGGAAAGTCTGAAACACGCGGTTTTGTTCTGACAGGTCACAGAAGTCTCAAGCTCTTCCCCAGGTGACACCACCTAGCCAACAGGCAGGTGGGACAGACATTATTTTAGCTTAACCACACTGATGACGTCCACACCTCATTAACTTACCATGCTGACACCTGCCCTATCACTTTTGTGAAAGGATCCAAACGTACAAGAAACAGACATAAGAATTTAACTTGCAAGGCTTCAAGTTAAGTGAGAATAGCAAAGGCAATTTAAACAGTAACATGGCACAACTTTCCCTGTTAGTGGTTTTAAAATGCTTACCAAACAAGGGAGGAGTTCACTTGCTTAGATATTTGAAATACAACTTTATTCTGATTCTAAACGAAAAGGAATGGGAATGACAGTGACAACGAGGTTTCACCACTGGATATTGTGATGGGACTATAGCAGTCTCGTATCTGAAACTCAGGAAGGAAACAACTGCGTTCCAAAACAGCTAAATATGCAGGTCCAAAAAATGAAAGTACTTTTTAAACTGCCACATTCACTCCGAAGCCCATTCATCTCCTTCAGCATCCCAAAGATTAAGCACATGTTCTGCTCAGCTATATAATAAAGTGGCAAACACGCTGCACCACTGACATCACAGGACAGTTGCCTATAAAACTAGACTTCTGACGCTGGGCTCCAGCTGCACGTTCTCACAGGTCATCATCTTCATCCGGGAGAGCAGTTGTCTGAGCAACCTAGGGAAGACACAACGCGGAACACTCTCGGTTAGAGCCATCAGGAACACAAGACGCCGCAACGGACCACACGGCTGGGCACTGAACACCCTACCTCTAGATCGTGCTCGTACTGTGCTGCCAAAGCTGGGTCCATGACAACCTCTGGTGGGGCGAGAGCGGGCATGGCGACAAACTCCAAGTTAGGGTCTCCAATTAGTTTCCTAGCAAGCCACAGGAAGGGCTTTTCAAAGTTGTAGTTACTTTTGGCAGAAATGTCGTAGTACTGTTTAAAAAAAAAAGTAAAATTAGTTATTAAAAATCTACTTCTTGCCAGTCACTTGGATGTTCCAAACTAAAGAACTCTTCTGATCCCTACCACGGATGTTTACGAATCCCTTTAACGGGCCTGTCATTGCAATTTCATTTTTAACAGAACAATGATGCAGTAAATGATGAATTTTAAAAAGCTCACCTGAAGATTCTTCTTTCGGTGGAAGACAATAGATTTTGCCTTAACTTTCCTGTCCTTAATGTCCACTTTGTTGCCACACAGCACAATAGGGATGTTCTCACACACTCGTACCAGATCTCTATGCCAGTTAGGCACATTCTTGTACGTAACCCTTGACGTGACATCAAACATTATAATGGCACACTGGGCTGAAACAAAGATCGAGGGTAAGAGTTACACACCCAGGATTTCCTGCACAGACGAGAAATGCTAAGGAGCACAGACCAGGCATCGGGCCACCTCTGTTGCCGCGATCCTTCTCGAGGTCTCTTCCGAGTCTAAAAACCTTAAGATCACGAACACACGGCAAGGTTTGAAATTCCAAGTTCTCTCTAAGTGTGAATGGCCAGCGTGCCCTATCAAAGCTCTCTCCCGGGATACTTCATTAGTCCCGCCCCGTCCCAAAGTCCAAAGTAGATGAAATCAGCCTTCCCGGCAACCTGTGTCCTCTGAGTAAGGAGGACCTATTCCCCCCAAAGATCCTAAAATGAGCAGCTACGTCACAACACGCTGTTCTTTTCTCTAAGGCTCAAGTCTACACGCGGACCTAGGAGAGAAGCAAGATGCGGTTAACACGGCGAACCACGAAGCACGTCCCAGCCAACGGCCTTCGGGCCCGGCGTTTCTTGGGGAGAAAGTCCGTTGTTGGCGCACAGAGACGGCCGGGGTCGCGCGGGACTGCGGCCCCGGGGCCCCGAGGCCCGGCGCCGCGCCTACCTTGGATGTAGTAGCCGTCCCGCAGCCCGCCGAACTTCTCCTGGCCGGCCGTGTCCCACACGTTGAACTTGATGGGGCCCCGGTTGGTGTGGAACACGAGCGGGTGCACCTCCACGCCCAGGGTGGCTGCAACGGGAGCGCGGCCGTGAGCCCCGGCGGGCGCCCCCGGCCCGCGCCCCGCGGCCGGCCCCCCACGTACCTACATACTTCTTCTCGAATTCACCCGTCAGGTGACGCTTCACGAACGTCGTCTTCCCGGTGCCGCCGTCGCCGACCAGCACCAGCTGCGGGACAGCACAGGTCGGCGCGGGCCCCGCCGCCCGCCCCCCGCCGCCCCCCGCCGCCCCCCGGCCACGTACTTTGAACTGGACCTGCGGCTCTCCCTGGGCAGCCATGGCGCTGGTGCTGAGGAGCGGAGACAGCGGCGTGGGGCGGGCGGCGCGGCGGCGCGGCCGGGCGGCCACATGGCCGGGCCCGCCCCACGTGCCGGGGCCCACAAAGGGGCGCCGGGCGGCCGGCCCCGCGCGCGCTCCCCGGCCGGGGCGGGGGCCGCGGCGCGCTCGCCAAGGGCGGCGGGCGGCGGCGGCCCGTCCGCGGGGCCTGGCGCCGCGCCGCGGCGGAACCGGGGAGGCCGGGAGGCCGGGCGGAGGCCGGGGCCGGGCCGCGCCGCCCCGATCGCGCGCGCCACCCGCCGCGCCGGGCCCGCCGCGCCCGCGTCCCGGCGCCGGCCTGCGGCCTCCGCCCGGGGGGAAGGGGAGAGCCCGCGCAACCGCCGCCGCCCGCCCCGGAGCCCCGGCCCCCGCGCCCCCGCGGCCCCCGGCCCCGCGCCCCCGCGGCCCCCGCGCCCCCGGCCCGGCCCGGCCCGGCCCGGCCCCGCCGCACTACCTTCCAGAAGCGTCTCCGGCCCGTCTGACTGAGGGCTGGAAAGATGGCGGAAGCGCAATTCAAATGCCCGGAGACGCAGCCGACGCCGGCGCGCGCCGGGGGAGGGCGGGGCAACGGCGCCGCGCCGCCCCCACGTGGCCCGGCGCGCGCGCGCACGCACGCCGCGGGCTCGGGCGGCCACACCCGTCGGCCTGGCGCGGAGGGAAAGACCCGCGGGCCGGCGGGCGCGGGCGGGCGCAGGACGCAGGGCGGGCGCGCGCACGCACGCCGGCCCGCGGGGCCACGTGCACCGGCCCGGAGGGCGGGTTCCCGCGCGCGCATGCGCTGACGGCGACGCGGCGCGCCCTGCTGCGGCCGCGCCGCGGAACTGGGAGGAGAGGGCAGGCCCCTTGGGCGGGAAACTCGCGGGGAGCGGCCCACACAAAGCCTCTGGGCCTCCCGGGCCGGGAGCTCGCCGTGCGAACGCGGTACAGCGGGCCCCGGGCGGGCCCCCTGTCGGGTGCGGGCCACGCCTGCGCCCCAGGCCGCCTCCACATCCCGCCGTCCACGCCGCCCACGCCCCGGCCCTGCGCCCCTGGCTCCTTTTCTCTCTCGCCGCAACCCCGGCCCTTCCTCCCGCATCCTCCTCCCTGAGCCCCACCTCCCCGAGGCCCCGTCACCCGCTGGGCCCTTTCCCTGCCCCCCACCCCCCCGCCTGCCCCCTTCCGCCCTCGCCGCACCCCCATTCCTTCCAAAGCCCATTCCTCGGAGGCCACGCTAGGCCCCCAGCCCCGGGCCCCTTCCGCCCTCGCCGCACCCCCGGTCCCTTCCTCCCACGCCCCCGTTCCCGAGCTCACTCTAGGTCCCCCTTCCCTGCGCCCCCAGCCCCAGGCGCCTCTCATTCAGTGCCCCCTTCTCCCTCTGACCTCGACTGCCGGCACCTTCCCTGTAGTTCTGGTCCCACCCCCTCGCCCCCCTTGTCCCTGGCCTCAACCAGAACCTACTTGGGGTAGAGGACAGAAGGACAGACGCTTTTTCCCACCCTGAAAAGCCAGCCACCCTTTTCTTAAAGCATCTAATTGGTCAGCAGCCTTTGTGACCGTATCCTGCAAACAGGATGATGAAATCTTGCTTTCAAACTTGGCAGCTCTCCTCATCCCAGTTACAAACTTGGATGCAATCGATGAGTGTTTAGGTTCCAGACTCTGGAGGGGGTAAAGCTGTCGAGTCCAGACAGATCCGTGCACTCAGAAGTCACATGCTCCTGGGGATATCCACCTCAGAGGGTCATGTAAGTAGAAAATAAGATGAGCCACAAGCTTAATAAATGTTGATTATTATTATCATGCATTTGCTTTAGCAAGGATGTGGGCCGAATGGAGTCCCCCAACCTCTTACCCTAAGCCTAAGGCCGGTTTTCGGCATTTGTGTGGACAGCCACAGATTTTCCTTTAACCCAGGCCTTCTTGGTCCCCTCCACGAGCAAGCGTCCACACTCACAGCAAGAGCAGATAGCTAATGGCCCCATCAGAGTAGTCAGGTTGCTCAGAAAGGATTCCACCACGGGAACTCTTCCCAGAGCAAAGAAGACCCGTATGACCAAGAAGGAGTTAGCCACTTCGTCCTGAGTGCACTTTGCAAGCAAGCCTGTTGGGAACACAGGTGACGCAAATCGGGCACAATGCTTCTGCGAACCTGCCTGCTGGGAGCTCAAGTCCCAGCGCCCCAGAGGACCCTCAGGAAAACACCAAGCAGCTCGCTCTGCTGCTGGTGGGAGTGTACATTGCTTTCACCTCCCAGGAGAGCAGGAACTGATAAAACATAAGTGCTGAGAGCTGGTGACCCTGTACTTCCACTTCTAGAGAGATTCCCCGGAGTTTAGCTCCCACATATGCACAGGGAGACAGTATCGCGAGCGCTTACTACAACACGATAGCAACAAAAAATGGAACTTCCAGAAATACCCATTGACAGGGAAATGTATACAAATAGTTACCTGGATTCCCGTATGGCATCTAAAAGGAAGCAAGTTCATCTGTATCAACAGGGTTAGATCTCAAAGGATAATGTTGAAAAAAAGAAGGAAGTTCAAGAAAGATATGATAATAGCTTTATACAGTCCACAGTATGTATAATTTTATATAGGGATGGTATAGGATAATACCATTTACGGACATTTTTATAAACACAAAGCCATATTAGTTCTTGAATGTATGTAGGCAAATTTTTTTTTAGTTGACTACAATGATATAGACTGAATCCGGATGCTGTTGTTTCGAGAGACCGTAGGAAGGGGTGTGATGGGGAGGGGCAGAACAGTCAAAGAAGGCTATCTGCAGGGTTCCCTTTCTTCTGTTAAAAGAAGGTAATTGAAGCAAATAGGGCAACATATTAACCACTGTATAACTCTAGGCGGTGAGAACACCAATGTTTCTACCTTTTGGCATTTTTGAAAATATTTCTTCCCACAAGAAAAGCCAAAGGGAAATATGTCAAACCAAGGGTATTCCTTGTTCTCACACTTAGCATTCTGAGCTGAGCTCCTGGTGGTTTGGTTTGTTCGTTAGTTGCAGATGTCATTCACTGGCCCTGTCCCAGAACTTCTGAAGATGATCATCTCAAAGAGCACAGAGAAAAAATGGGAAAACGTACCCTGGCTGGCATAGATAACGCGTTTCCCCGGTAAGACTGCCCGAGCTCTTCCAGTCACCGGTGGCTTTGCGGTGTAGAGGGGTACTTCCTTGTCTCTGCCACCCAGCATGGATTGCAAACCCGTGCTTGCCCTGTAGTTTCAAACGTTGCAGCCACATGCACGGAGAGGCAACAATTACAAAAATGTTGCAGCAACAGTACAAGGGATTCCAGCTACTGCCTCTCATTTCCTCAGACATCAGCATTTCCTCGTTTCCTTGGTCCTCCTCTCCTTCTCTGAGTATGTATCTCACCGTATATATGATTTTTAATATATATATAGGATTTTGTCCTCTGGGATGTTTGAGAGTAAGCAGCAAGCGGGATGCCCCTAGGTACGTATTTCTTGAAACCAAGGACATTCTGTTACATAACCACTGCTCACTTACCCACATCAGGAAATGATCCTGGCAGCAATCCCATGGTCTCATCTACAGACCGGAATGCCACGGGTCTCACTGCCGTCCTATAGCTGGTGCAGGATCCGTTCAGGATTACATGTTACCTTCAGCTGTTCAGTCTGTGAAGTCTCTTTTAAACCAGAACAGTAACTTCAACTTTCATGACCTTCACACTTCTGCAGCAGATTTTGTAGGCCAGGTCTTCTGTGGCTTTGTCTGATATTTCCTCTGGATGGGATTCAGGTTACACAGTTTGGGTTGGGATACCTTAGAAATGGTGATGTCCTTCTCGGTGCATCTTTTCAGGAGCACAAAGTGACCTTCGTAGAATATTTCAGACCCTCCTTGGGCCTGCTAACGTTGCAGGAGTTTGCCGGCTCGCTTACATACATGAAATCGGTGGCCGGCCAGGCCCTACGTGAGCTAAGTTGTGCCTCCTTTTCTACCCCATCTCCAGCTTCTTTCCCTGTAACTCTGCTGTAGCCACGCGAGCCTTTCTGAATCTCACCTCTGCCAAATTTGTCCCTGCCTGAGGGCCTTTGCACTGACTGGTCCCTCTGCCTAAAATGCTCTTCCTCCACATTCTTGCCTGACTGCCTCCTTCTCACCCCTCAGGTCACAGCTCAAATGTCACCTCCTCAGGAAAGCCCACCCTGACTGCACTCTCTAAAATGGTGTCACCACACCAGCCCATTTTCCATCTCAGCCTCCATTTGATTTTCTCCAAAGCACTTACCACTAACTGAAAATAGCTTGCTTAATAATTTACATGCTTACCTTTTTGTCTTTCTTTCTCTCACTAGAATAAAGAAAGCACGTTGCTTGGCATGATACTCAGGGTGTCTAGCACAGTGCTTGGCTCATATTGGGTGCTCGGTAAATATATGTTGAATCATTGAGTGAATTACTCTTCACCCCATCTGAATACAGAAAGAATAATCAGTAACAACATCATTATATGCTAGTAAAATAATGGTGGCTTACAAACACAAGCTTATTAGAATTTTAATATGCTATTTCATGTCAAAGACTAATCAATCATTAAACAAATAACATTTAGCAAATACAGGGCCAACCTTTCCCAATTGTGCAGTTTGCAAACCAATAAGGAAGGAATTCTTAAAGATTCCATTATCTATTTCATCAATCCAGCTGGATATCAGTAATTTGTCAAATGAAATATTTCCTTTACTGGACACTCAGTTTTCTACATAGGGAGCACACTGATGCCCAGATTACATGCTACTTCTTAGCATTAGCACAGAAATTACTTTCCCTGACTGTGAAATCAAGAGCCTAGTCATGTATTCATGGCAGACATCCATCCAATCTCTTCCATCCAAGGACCAGACAGTGCAGACGGTACACTTCGGTGGCCCGTGAACTCAGTCCAACCATCAGTGGTATTTGTCCTATCCTGGGGTGGATCACAACATGATTTGTATCTAAACTAGTTGCCTGTATTTTAAAATGTGCTGGTTTTTAAAGTGAGTTCACAAATTCCTTGAAACTTCTCTCTTGAAAAGGGTTGAGTCTACTTCTGGAGTATGGGTGGGGCTTAGTGACTTAGTGACTGTGGACAGGTTCCAGTGATGAGGAGATGAGCCGGCCTGTGAGGGAGCCGTCTGGAGAGTCATCTTCCAGTCCCAGTCCCGCCTCGCCAGCTGTGGCCCCCCATATGCATCTTACCTGCAGTTTCTGGGGACGGAGTGAAGCCGCTCCCGAATCCTGACTCACGGAAACCGTGTGAGATTTATTGTTTATTGTTATTTCAAACACTAACTTTTGACGTAATCTGCACTGTGATGAGTGACGGGTCTACAACACAAAAAACAAGGATAGTTCACGTAAAAATCCAGACATCTGGTTTCTGTTGAGCATCAAGATAGGCAGTCACTGGGCCTATTCTTAAGACGAGAGGCCGTGAGCCTCTTTCCTACATGGCCGCGAGCATCTGGATTAGCCACCTGCCTCCCAGGGATGGGTGAACACTGCATTTGGCCTCAGGCTCTGCCAATCCCTATTACGTCTCAGACCTGAAGCCTGTTGCTGGCCCTTGTCACCTGGTGCTCAGCCCACTCTACTCACTCACCTGCCTGAGCCCTGCAGGACCTGAGCTCACAACCTCTGGTTTCGTGAATCTAAGACACAGAGCTGAAAAAATACACTCATTCATTCATTCATTCATTCAGCGAATACTTAGCGAGCATCTATGGACCAGCCATTCCCTAAGGACTGGGGTAGTGAATGAAACAGACCCCAGAGGTCTTGGCCTCCTAGAGCTTTCATCCTAGAAAGAAGAAACAGGAAGTAGACTTGGTAAGGAAGTAACGTATATAGGTTATGGATGATTGCGAAGTGAAAAATAAAGCAGGTAAAGAAAATATGGAAGGGTGCCTGGGTGACTCAGTTGGTTAAGCGACTGCCTTCGGCTCAGATCATGATCCTGGAATCCCAGGATCGAGTCCTGCATTGGGCTCTCTGCTCACAGGGAGTCTGCTTCTCCCTCTCCCACTTCCCCCTCTCATGTGCTCTCTCTCTCTCTCTCATTCTCTCTCTTTCAAATAAATAAATAAAATCTTAAAAAAATATATGGAATGTCAGAGGAAGGGGAGAGTGACCAGCAGGACTTCCCTAAGATAGTGACATTTGAGCAAAGGCCTGTAGAAGGTGAGGGAAGAAACCACACAGATATTGGAGGACATAATTCTAGGGCCAGGGAATGGCCAGTGCAAAGGCCCTGAGGTAGAAGGCTGCCTGGAGCTGTCAGGGACAGCACGGAGGCACGTGGCTGGAGCAGAGGCTCAGAGGTGACACGGGACCCCCGTGCTGACCATGTTTCTGTGTGAACTCGGGGTCTCAGAATGAGCGCAAGGAGCCTCTTGTCTTAAGAACAACGGTTGCTTCTTTATAGCTAGAGG